CTATACATATAGATAGATTAGTAAGCATGTTTTTTAATAATAGGCTATACATATAGATAGATTAGTAAGCATGTTATATAATAATACACTTTTTAAGCCGATAGAGGCAAGATCTTTTTATCTCCTTTCGAGAATTTTCGTAAATTACGAAAGTTTCACGTAACGACACAAAGGGAGAAAGTATCATGAAAGAGATAGATGGGCTCATGAAAACTAGCTGTTGAAGAAGAAACACGGCAAAAGTGATAAAAACAAAACAAAAGCTTTCAGGCGCGTGCGCTTTAAATTCCTTGGTGAAGTGAAGATAAAATTATACATCTCTGTTTGTTTGTTTTTTTTACCCATTGATATCGTCTTTTAATAAATCCCAATCGTCAGCGCTCTAGGATGAGAATAATTTGTCTCTCATTTATGAAAAGATAAGCCCCGATATTCTTTCTCCCAAAAGTTAGACAAGAAATCCTTTCAACTTAAGGCTGTGATTTATACTTTACTGGAGCCGTTCCCTGTGGTGTCTAAGTGAAACCAGCAAAGGAGATGTTGTTGTTGTTGTTCTTTTTTTATCAGGTCTCCTTGGATACCTCAGAATCAGTTTCTATCGTAATTTATTGTATCTATTAGTTTGTCAGTTTCTAGGCGCCATGCTAGCAACGCACTCGCTACTGATTTGACATCAATGTGTCATTTTGTTTTATATACTTTACTGGTTATTCGATTCTACCACAGGGCCAACCTGCGCCCTCTGGTGTGTTTTTGTTTCAACCTTGGAATGCGCAACGTTTACTGTGGTTCTTTAAGAACCATAGTAAAAATAATTATTGCTGGGGACAGTTGTCTCTCTTCTTCCCCACTATGAGCAAGGTAATTATTCTATGTTCTGATAGAATCTTTACGTAGCTCGTCTTTAGAAACGAATTCCGCCATGATGGATCTACCAACCGGAGGAGTTGTCCTTTACACACTATATATAGAAACATAGAGATTTTCTAACAGCTTTTTTTTTTTGCTCATTTTACTATGTTTACTTGTTTATGCTTTTTGAAATACTTAAAAATTCGTTATAAAAATCAAAAGTTTCTGTAGGTATTTTCGGAAGTGAGCCATAATCTCTGTCGGATCAATCAGTCAGTAGTCTGACTTTTTCATAATCTCTGTCGGATCAATCAGTCAGTAGTCTGACTTTTTCATAATCTCTGTCGGATCAATCTGTCAATGGTCTGACTTTTTCATAATCTCAGTCGGATCAATCAGTCAATAGTCTGACTTTTTCATAATTTCAGTCGGATCAATCAGTCAATGATCTGTTTTTATGATATAAGTTGGATGAAGCGCTCAATAGTCTGACTTTTGGATAATCTCGATTCAATCACTCAATAGTCTGATCTTTTCATAACCTCAGTCGGATCAATCACTCTGTAGTCTGATTTTTCTATATTCTTAATTGGATTAGTCATTCAGGACTAAAACGGTGATCATAAGACTGGTTTATATGATCATTAAGATTTGTAACTTCAGTATTGTGTATTTTAACTAATATGAAATCAGTTTTAACTAGAGGGGCTCTGTATAACGCATACCTCAGTCACGCAGCATTGATCATATATTCGGCTCTCAAAAAATAAGAAAATGTGTCCGCATGTCCGTCATTATCAACGGACAATATTTGGCAGGACAATAAGGAATAATATTCTACATAAGTCCACCAAGTTTTATCAAAATGCGATCATTGTTGACTGAGTTGTAGAGCAAAAATGATGTGAAAAATCGGTCTCCATGTAACAGATAGTTTTTTGTAATTTTTGTGACCTTGCCATGACCTTGACCCTCCAAAAGCTAAATCACTTCTAAGTTGGGTCATAGTCCAAATGTGTACCAGCTTTCGTCCAAGTCCATATAGCCGTTTTCGAGAAATCGTGCTGACAAACACACAAACAAACAGATACATAGGGGAGGAAGGGTAATAGGTAGATGAAATACGAAAAGTGATTATGATTATCGGATATCTCTCTCTTTTACAGGTTCATTAATGCCCGACGACGTATTGTTCAACCCATGATAGACCAGTCGAACAGAGCTGGTAAGAACAAATTGTTTTGTGTTATTAAAATGACCTAATAAAAACTGTAAGGTCAGAGTATAAGTAAGTTTGAAACTGTAAGGCCAGAGTATAAGTAAGTTTGAAACTGTAAGGCCAGAGTATATAAGTTTGAAACTGTAAGGTCAGAGTATAAGTTAGTTTGAAACTGTAAGGTCAGAGTATAAGTAAGTTTGAAACTGTAAGGTCAGAGAATAAGTAAGTTGGAGCTAGCGAAATAACGTGAGTAGGTGAGGCTAAACAGATCACGAGATCATTGTAATGAACAATAATTGATTGACTAATTAGGTTACATCTGGACTGTAGGACAAGTTATATCATTACAGTGATCAATAACTGATTGACTAAATAGGTTAGATCTGGACTGTAGGACAGGTGATATCGTTATATTGATCAATATGGACTCAGCTCTAGAAAAGGGGATGCGTTGAGCCCAGTTCCTATTGATTTTGTTTTAACTCTTCTGCGGCTCATTAATCTCACTGATAAAAACACAATCAAGTATCTCACATGTACCAGAAGATTTCAGCATTTTAGCAAAGATTTGAAAATTAAAAAACATCTTGCTTCAAGGGGCAATAATTACATTAAATATGTTCACTTTGAAGCCTAATGTTCTGACAAATATCGTCTCAGTGTTTAAAACCCGTAGAGGTTTTACAGGAAACTTGGTTTAAACCCATAAAGGTTTTAAAGGAAACCTGGTTTAAACCCGTAGAGGTTTTACAGGAAACTTGGTTTAAACCCGTAGAATTTTTACAGGAAACCTGATTTAAACCCGTAGAATTTTTACAGGAAACCTGGTTTAAACCCGTAGAGGTTTTACAGGAAACCTGATTTAAACCCGTAGAATTTTTACAGGAAACCTGGTTTAAACCCGTAGAATTTTTACAGGAAACCTGGTTTAAACCCGTAGAGGTTTTACAGGAAACCTGATTTAAACCCGTAGAATTTTTACAGGAAACCTGGTTTAAACCCATAGAGGTTTTTACAGGAAACCTGATTTAAATTAATGCAGGCACGTGCAGCTTATTCTCTACAGTAATCCAATACTTTCACTAAATGCAACGGGTCTTGTAGTTTCTGCCCGGATTGTGAATTCGAGGGTTCATGATTCGCACCCCGTTTCTCCATAAGAATGAGGTGAAATCCCACTATTCGGTCAATTAAGGACAGCTAAGAGTTGGCGCCGGGTGCTCTTGGCCAACTGCCTTCTATCAGCTCAAAATTAGGGACGGCTATGAACAGATGGTCCCTGTTATAAATCTTTAAAACAAACAAAATGCTAAATTTGACTAAAAAATATTTTAGAACGTTAGTGGTTAAAAACCTGACACATTATTAAGAAAGTATATTCAACTAAAGTTAGACTGAGAGAAAAAAAAAGATGAGTTGAAATAATGACAAAACAAAGACCTTATTGTTATATAACGTAAAAAACTGGAAAAACACTAGACAAAATGGTACTTAGAACTTGGTGAGCGTATGATATGATTAGAAGTAATTAGTCCGTTGACACTGGCTACTCTGTTTCTACATTGAATTTGTGTAAAGAATACTAACTGTCGTCAAGTGTAGAGAGGAAGTCGTTGTTTTGCTTGTTTAGGGTTAGTATTTATATGTGTGTGTACATATAGAGAGGTAGAAATGAATCAATAACACACTAAAATCATCATTTAATTGACTGTTTCATTTATAACTAAACTATTAAACTCGCACATATTCCACAATAGTATACATTATCTTCATTGGCTAGGTGCTAAATATACATACATAACCAATTTTTGTGAACAACGACTGTTAGGGTGGACATCAGATTTATGCGAGTGAATTATAATTATTGTTAATTTTGTATAATTCAATTACAAGTCAGATTGTGAGTAAAAATTACTAACACAACATTATTTATTTAATTTTATGCTGTGTATTATTTATTTTTATTATTGTAATTTTTAATTGAATGAACATTATTATCGTTCTAGATACTGTTTTTTTTATGTGTACAGTAACTTTCATTCTCGTTTGTTGACTAGGTTTTTTTTTATACGAAGAGAACGTGTCATTTTAAAAGGATTTTTAATTTCCTTTAGCTTCTGTTTGCTTTCCGATTCTCGAGAGTTCAGAGCCAATCTCCGAGAAAAATCCATCTCGGAGAATAAACAGTGAAGGAGACTTTTTTTTTTCAATAGTTCACTCTGAAGTTGATATAGAAATAATACTTTAGATGTAGTGTTACTCAGCTATTTCTATGTACATTAGAAATGGAAGTGAGGGGGAAGATTGGGTTGGGTGGACACATAGGTTGTCTCCCTCATTAGAAGAGCGATCTATCACTGAAGTGTCTAAGTCCAATTTGAAGAGACCAGTTGGTAAAAGCCAACCACTACCATAGCGAAAAGTACTTCAAGATAAGCCTTCTCGGTGTTCAATGTCTTCTGTTGGGATTTGTATTAGGAATTGGCAGTTCATGATTGATGGGATTTCAATATGTTTGCGAAGAAAATAAAATCACATAGTTATAATATACAAGTGGCTCCACCAAGTGGTACACGGGACTATTCATTAAAACCCTTTAACTTCGACTTCAAGTTAGTTTGCTATTAATGATACGAAAGTGTACCAAAATTAGTTTCTTAAAAGATTCGTTTGGATATCTCTCTTGCTGTGTGGCCGAAATATCAGAAAAACTTGTTTCTAGCCCCACCCCCCGGGGGGTGGGGGTGGTGGTAAATACCAGCTGAGTTGTGAGCTGAAGAAATCCGATCCATCCGAATCGTGCACAGCTGTAATAATCAAACGTTGTTTTCCCTCTTACAACTTCTCATTAAATGATAACCTTTTCCCTCTTTTCCCATGTCTTTAAACATATTTACATTTGATTGAACACCTCCTACTTCCCCCCCCCTCCCTCCTCTGTTTCTCAGGCCATCCAGAAGAATGAACACGTCCTTTCATGAATGAATGTAAATAGACAGTGTGAATGAAAGTTATTATATTAGTGACGAAGGCAAACTGACGAGTGTTTGTTAGTTTTTCGTACCACGCTAACGGAAATGATTAAACTAACGTAACTTGATATTAGAGTCAGATCATATAACGTTTACAACTTGCATACACTTGTTTTCTTCGAAAAAATATCTCCATCGCATAATATCTTTCTTGGCAAAATGCGCAACATGAATGCCTGTAGTCCTAAGTACCTTGATTCCTTTACATCGAAAAAATAAATAATATATTCTTTATTGGCCTAAAGGTCCACTCACATATGAGATTATAAGTGACTATCGGGAATGGTGTAATATGTAGTTGTTTAAAGTGAATATCGGGAATGGTGTAATATGTAGTTGTTTAAATGAATATCGGGAATGGTGTAATATGTAGTTGTTTAAATGAATATCGGGAATGGTGTAATATTTAGTTGTTTAAATGTATTCGATCAAACTATTACCAATTCGCAGTTTTCTAATACTAACGTTAAATAAAGATGTATATAATTATCAAACTATTACCTATTCGATGTTCTAATATTAACGTTAAATAAAGATGTATAGAATTATCAAACTATTACTTATTCGATGTTCTAATATTAACGTTAAATAAAGATGTATATAATTATCAAACTATTACCTATTCGATGTTCTAATACTAACGTTAAATAAAGATGTATAGAATTATCAAACTATTACCTATTCGATGTTCTAATACTAACGTTAAATAAAGATGTATAGAATTATCAAACTATTACCTATTCGATGTTCTAATACTAACGTTAAATAAAGATGTATAGAATTATATACTAGCTTCTCAAAATTCTCATGTAAGTTTTATACGAGTGAACTGGCTCAGAAGTAAGTCTGGGGGCTTATGATGTTAAAAATCTGGTTTCGATACCCGCGGTGTGAAGAGCACATACAGTCCATCGTGTAGCGTTACCTTTAGCAACAACCAAGCTTTTGTAGGGGGATTTGTTTGTTCGTTTGTAGTTAAAGGACAAAGCTACACAATGGGCTATCTGTGCTCTGGCCACCACGGGTACCAAAACCAGGTTTCTAGCGTTGTAAGTACCGTTGTGCCATTGGAGCTTTGTAAGAGGAACTGGTTGTGTTGGAATTGTGTATAAAGTTTTATCAGATTTCCTAACACATACTTATAAAAATAATCAGTTATCAGAGCTTATACAAATTAAAACAAACATGAAATATATTAAGAAGTTCAATTGTTTACTTCATAATTTATTACTGTTAATGTTAGGTGGTGCTATAGGGGGCGCCAGTGCTGCATATAGCCCGGATGGAACAAGTATGGGGTACATGATGGACGGAAGTCAGCAAATGCATCTTCGACCACCAGGTGCGTTTTAAGAAATATCATGTTTTGTTGTTTTACATCTAAAACAGTAGAGATCTTTGAAATCGTAACGAAAACGCTTCGTTCGTGCATGCGCAGAATAATAAATTCAACCCAGATAAAATAACAATTAATGTGAGCTATGTATGATATAATTTGCATCAAATTATTTAAGCTAGGGTATTGCAAAAAAAACAAAAAACAACAACAACAAAAAAACATTCTTTAGAAACCTAGTCCACTTCGTTATTTTAATGGTATTTTTCTTACCGCTAGGGAGATCTGAAATGAAATATCAATTTTTTTTACAACAATGTAGTATTTTATATTTAGTTTTTCCATTTCTACATTTTTAGGTATTCAGAACCTGCAGTGTTCCGAACCATCTATGGGAATGGGTCACATGGGAGGAATGGGAGGTTACTCCCAGATGTCCCAACTCCGCTCACCTGTTCATTCTCAGACCATGCTACTACCCGGACACCCCCACGCTATGATGATGGCACATACTCCCATGGGCCATCCAGGACTTCCTCCTCAGGGGTCTCCATATGACAGCTCAGGACAGCATATAATGGACATACATGCCAGTTAAACTCCAAATTTCTCTGAATTCCTTTCGTGTAGTGATTAACGCGTATCCTACCCTCACGCGTGACGTCATCCCCCCCAGACTGTAATGGGATGATCATTAGACAACATCAGTAGCCTATTCGGCATTTACTCCCCAAAGAAACGTTGGCTCTGTTCGATTGAAATATGGTTGTTAAAAAAAGCTAGAGACGAAATAAAATGTAACTTTAAAAAAAAAAGGAAGATTTTTACAATTGAACACTCCAGGCTACAGGTATTTATGTGATTGGAAGTGTTCAATGTACGTTATGTGTTTACCTCAAGTCAGTACTGGGAACCAGGGTATATTTTACTGTCCCTCTGTGTAGAAAAACAAGCTTAGTTTTATTCTTAAACAACTGTGGTACTTCAACATTGGCTGTGTAATTGTAACGCCACAGGAATGGTAATTGTTAACCACAATAAATGGTGGCGTCATATAATTGTTTATAAACAGGTGACAAAATCATTATGTGAGTTCGTGCTTTTAGTGTAAGAGTAAATGATCTTGAGATGACAAATTACGTCTTTTACTCGACAGATACATAAGATAAGAAATACTGTGTATAATTGTATATGCTAGAAGTATTGTACGATCGTGTATTGTCATTTTTAATATATGTTGGGTAACAGCCTACGGAAATTAGGGCTAAGGTGTAGTATGCTAAAATACATATGTAAATGTATAGTTTTAGTTCCCGCTATGTAATCGTTAAATCTTTCTCGGGCTTTCTTTGTATCTATCTATCTAAGTAAGAATGTACATCATGGCATAACTCGTCAGCATATATATCTGTCTTTTGCAAGGATGAACTAAGCACACTGTGCAAATAAGCACAATGTCCTCTTTAGTGCCATACTTTTATGTGTTATTAAGGAATAAAACAAACTTAGTTATAATTTGACAACACGCCATTTTGTAGTATATTAGTATTAAACAACTAAGTTCTATTTGCGTTTGTTTCACAAAAATAAAATAGAGTTGAAAATCCAGCTGGTATTTGGATTTCGTATGTACATGTCAAGGATAAAGTTGCTAAAGTTTCCACACTTTTTTTTATCTTTGTTTATCGATATGAAACCTAGTGCATGGGTAGACCAGTTTTTAAGTAAAAATAGCGAAACTCTACCTTCTAACAAAAGTCTACGTAATTTTAACAACCCACAGTTGAGCAATTAATAGATAGCGTGTGTAATATTTCATATTGTCAAAAACTTGCCAACGCAGAAGGCTCTTCAACGGGTGAAACGAGACAGGCCGTATAGGAAACTAAGGCCAGAAAAAATGAAAGAATTAATTGGTGAGTCGTAGCCACACGGAAAACTAAGGCCAGAAAAAATGAAAGAATTGGTGAGTCGTAGTCACACGGAAAACTAAGGCTAGAAAAAATGAAAAATTGGTGAGTCGTAGCCACACGGAAACTAAGGCCAGAAAAAATGAAAGAATTGGTGAGTCGTAGCCACACGGAAACTAAGGCCAGAAATAATGAAAGAATTGAGTCGTAACCCCTAGGAATTCGTCGCATTTCATTCTAAACCATAAGCTCGATGAACTTGAAATTTAGCCTTTCCTGTCTCGCGATAAATAAATTGAAAAGAAATCGGACGTAACTCACGATCTAGTGCGTGTTTTGATGAAAACTTGGCATATGGAACACTAGAATTGTCTTTAACCATTGTATGAAAATCATGCTAGCTAAGTATATTATTGTTTAATATAATTCATGCAACAGTACAAACATCTCTCGAGTTTTATTCTTGGGAAAGGTTTGACTGGAAATTGAAATAGAATGGAGATCGTGAGATTTTCAAAATCAAAAAAATGTTTTTCTGATGTTGTTATTATTATTATTATTGAGTTTTGAATAATTTAATAACTGTCTAGCCTACGGCGATCTTTATTTCTGGTCTAAGGTCACTAGAAATAAATTGGTTTGACGTTTAAGATGTGTATAACTAAAAAAACATGTGGTTAAAAAAAGGAGCATGCTGTCCAATAAGGGGACAATCAGAAAATATGATGACAGAAAAGAAGCTTGTATAGATTTGTTTTTCTGTTGTAACAGCTGTCTGTCTGTTCTGTGTAATCGTCGTTAATAAAGTGAATGACATCGACATTTTTCTCCTTTTTATTTATTTTCTTAATTTCCAAAACAAACAAAAAATCCGAAACAAGCAGTCCAGATAGAATATTAAACATAAAAAAATCAAGTTTTGAGTTATACGAAAATGGTTTGGAACGGCGGTGTAATTCACCTGTAACAATATATACTATAAGAAAAACTCTACATGTTAGCGTTTTTTATTTTCCATAGAAACGCCAACACGCCTTGTGTTACATTCCCCACAATAATGTTTATTGCGACCTCTTTTGATTTATCATTTATTGTTCATTGTGATCTCACAAGACGTCTGTTCTCCACATTTTATTTCCTTCGCTTATCCATATTGGTGCTATTGAATTTGTGTATTAGTTGTTGATTAATTACTTGTGTATTATATCCGTCCATATCAAACAATGGACGGATGCTCATCCATGGTCAAACCTGGCCGAAGGAGGCCTACTATACCCGTCCCATCAAACATGGGGGCGTTATAATGTGATAGTCATTACCACTTTTCGTTATTAAAACAGTTCCCCAAGAGTTGGCGGTGTGTGGTGATGACTAGCCGCCTTCCCTCTAATCTTTCGCTGCTAAATTAGGGTCGGTTAGCGCAGATAGCCATCGTGCAATTTTGCACGAAATTCCAAACAAACCGAACCAATACTTGTGTATTTCTGATATGGAACCTATGGGTATTGTTTGTAAAATTCGGAAGATTATTTTGTTGAAACCAAAAATCGATCATTCAACACACCCAAGACAACACCCATTATTTTGTGCTTTTTAATTCACCAGTGATATCCCATGATAACGAAAATAGTTTTAGAAGATCTTACTAGAACCTCTTTGTTTGTGGTTCCTTCTTTTTAAAAATCTTATTATTATTTTTTTGTTATAATCAACATCTAAGTCTATCATACAACCTTGGATTTTATTCAGTCCTTAGCCCTACTAAACTTCTATATATTGAATAGTAGGTTATATAGTATATCCTGATGAAGACTGAAATTAACACGCATAAAATATTGGAAATAAAACCAGAAATCGTGGGCCCGGCATGGCCAGGTGGTTAGGGCGCTCGACTCGCAATCTGCGAGATAAATTATTTCTATAATTTAAACGTTTTTTTCATATTGGTTCGAATCCCCATCCCACCAAACATGCTCGCCCTTTCAGCCGTGGGGGCGTTATAATGTGATGGTCAATCCCACTATTCGTTGGTAAAAGAGTAGTCCAAGAGTTGACGGTGGGTGGTGATGACTAGCTGCCTTTCCTCTAGTCTTACACTGCTATATTAGGGACGCCTAGCGCAGATAGCCCTCGTGTAGCTTTGCGCGAAATTCAAAGACAAAGAAATAGAAATCGTGAGAGAATAAAAATAAAAGATAAATACTACGTTAAGACTACCCCTTTATTGTTGTGGAGTGAACTGCATTAGAGTACAGTCACGTGCTAATTGTTTACACTATGATTGGTTGTCATTAAGCAATCAAAGTGGCACGTCAGTATAAAGCCCTGTAAAAGTAAACTCAGTCGTATCACAACTAAGATTGGTGTGATCCAGTAATGATGCTCGGGACTGAAATGCTCCATGCATAAGATTGTGGAAAGACTCGTAGAGTGGTAAGTGAAACTAGCACTGTTAATAGTTATAGTGGTCGAAGTAGAAAACCAAAACTCTCATAAAATGATGTAACGCATTTCAGGATGTGTTCTTTAGAAGTCAATGGCCGAGTACAGATGTTACCCATAGCCTTATTGTAAATTTAAACTTAAAACGCAATTACCAAGAAGTGGTCTCAATGTGGCCCGGCATGGCCAGGTGGCTAGGGCGCTCGACTCGCAATCTGAGGGTCGCGAGTTCGAATCGCCGTCACACCAAACATGCTCGCCCTTTAAGCCGTGGGGGCGTTATAATGTGATGGTCGATCCCACTATTCGTTGGTAAAAGAGTAGCCCAAGAGTTGACGGTAGGTGTTGATGACTAGCTGCCTTCCCTCTAGTCTTACACTGTCTAGTCTCTAAATTAGAGACGGCTAGCGCAGATTGTTCTCGTGTAGCTTTGTGCGAAATTAAAAAAAAACAACACAAACAATGGTATCAATGGATACACAGCTGCTCGAAAACTGATGCTGAGAAAGTGTCACTACACCAGAAGATAGAAATGGGCATTATATTGTAAAAAAAAAAAAAAAGAGCCAAGCTTGAGACTCTCTGCATGTTAATTGAAGTATGAGTTATTCATCAAAAATCAACGACAGTTTTTCGACGGCGGTAAGGAGAATAGGATCATATTCAATGTAAATCTACAGTACGGCATAGTGGGGGATCAGTGAAAATTTGGAGTTGCATTTTAGCCAGAGGTGTCGGTGACCTACACAAAATTGTTGGCACCTCGACTGCTAACAAGTACAGGTAGACTTTTATCCGTCATATCGTTCCTTCAGGAACACTACTCATTGGGCAGGGATTCATCTTCCAGAAAGAAAATGATCCCAAGCATACAGTAAATATGGTGAAACGATATCGGTCAAGAGGTCGATGGAATACTAGCATGGAATGCTTGCCTTGCATAAAGGTCACGTATGACCATTTGTGAGGTCGCATGGGTTTATGTAAAAACTGAGAAGGTCAAAAAGAAATTAAAAAAACTTGGCTTTTACATTACATCTTTACATATCCGGTGGGTCAGCGCTAAGTTCACGGACTTACAACGCTAAAATACGGGGTTCGATCCCCCGCGGTGATCAGAGTGTAGATAGATCATTGTGTAGCTTTTCTCTAAAACAAACAAACAAACTTTTCTTCAAAACACATATTTATATGGACAGTTCCTTTATTCTAATTTGTCTGTTTCTATATATGTAATCGGTTTGATTAGATACTTTGAGTTACTATATCGATGTGAAGAAAAGGAGTTTTGTAAACATACATGTTAATCTATATCCGTACAAAGATTTCCAACTCGAAACAATTTTTTGGCTTCAATACGTACTTGATATTTAAGGCTTTTATATGAAAGGAGAATTGGCATTAAGCTACGAAAAATTGATCCCTAAAAACAATTGCTGTGAATTAATACTAATTTAAAGATAAATGTACTTATTTATTCGTAAGCAAGATTTCATTAATTTTTGCCAAACAGTTTAAGAATAACAGCCACGTACTCTTTCTCACCAGAGATGGCGTTGCAGCCACGTACTCTTTCTCACCAGAGATGGCGTTGCAGCCACGTACTCTTTCTCACCAGAGATGGCGTTGCAGCCACGTACTCTCTCTCACCAGAGATGGCGTTGCAACAAAAGGATGTTTCATATTTAGAGGCCTCGGAAGCTCGCTTTGCTTGAACCAAGTATCTATCTACATATTACAGAAGGTCATGAGGGTTCTACATATTACAGTATTTTGGTTGCGAAATATTCAAATATTTACTCAGTGTAGCTATATTTTACCAAAACTGTGGTGAAACTTTGAAGAATGGACGGCAACTGGCTCTTGTAGAAACAAGTGTAGAGGACGACGTTTTGAAAGTATTTCGTCTTCAGGTCAGTGTGTGTGTGTGTTTGTCTGTGGTCGGTCTTTATAGTATTCTGGTGGATTGTGGAGAGCGTGTTATGCTACACTTGAGTCTCTACAACAGGCAGTTACCGTCCATTCTACAAAGTTTCCTCCCGAATACTCTGCCTAAACAATCTATCAAAGAATAAAAACTGTGGCGTGTTTGAAACCTTTACCACTTTAAGCACTTGTATGGATTTTGACGTATGTAGAGTATTACAATAGCTTTTATTAGAGTATGGATTTTGACGTTACTCTACACACGTCAAAATCCACACTTCAATAAAAGCTATTGTAATACTCTACACACGTCAAAATCCACACTTCAATAAAAGCTATTGTAATACTCTACATACATCAAAATCCATACTCTAATAAAAGCTATTGTAATACTCTACATTTACAATAGCTTTTATTGAAGTGTGGATTTTGACGTGTGTAGAGTATTACAATAGCTTTTATTGAAGTGTGGATTTTGACGTGTGTAGAGTATTACAATAGCTTTTATTGAAGTCTTTCACTTTTCTGATAGTTATGGAAGTGGAGTTAGAAGGATGTAAGGAGTGACGTTTGTTATATACACAACTAACGATGGGTGGAAGGATAACACAGACAGATACAATAGCCGACTGGAAGAATGCAATTAAAGGATCACCGCATTAAAAACAAAACAAATATAGACAGATTAAGAATCACTAAAATATGGTGACCAAACAGAAGAAGTAAAGAGTGGGCATGAATAGATAGCCATATAAACTTAACCTTTAAAGGATTAAGATAAAAAAGGCCTAAGAGAATGCATAGGGCTTTGGTGATTTATATTAGGTTCAATGAAGATGGATAAAGTTTAAGAATAATTTAAAGTTTATAAGGACGGATAGTCTAGTACATCTCGGGTATTGGTGAGTTGCGTTAGGTTAAGAGGACGGATAGTCTAGTACATCTCGGGTATTGGTGAGTTGCGTTAGGTTAAGAGGACGGATTGTCTAGTACATCTCGGGTATTGGTGAGTTGCGTTAGGTTAAGAGGACGGATTGTCTAGTACATCTCGGGTATTGGTGAGTTGCGTTAGGTTAAGAGGACGGATAGTCTAGTACATCTCGGGTATTGGTGAGTTGCGTTAGGTTAAGAGGACGGATAGTCTAGTACATCTTGGATTTTGGTGAGTTATGATTGACTGTTTTAGTCTCAAGTTAATTTTAGGACACATTTCGAAGCTAGCAAGCCTGGTTCGAATCCGTGCCATACCCCAAAATATTCTCCTTCATAATTTAAGTTGTGGGAAAGTTATAAGAGTAACAGAGAATCTCTTATCGTTGATGGTGGGTGGTTAGTTGTTCAAAATTAGGGAAAGCGGCAGATAGCCTTAGTAGCTTTTCCCAAAAATACAAATGTAGGTTTATGTTACATTAAGATAAGTTAGATACCGTCTTCGAACTGACCCAGTTTTCC